ATATATATATATTTTTAAGGTGAACCGATTTCAAATAATACTAAGTAAGAGCACAATAAATATAAAAAATAATAATTACATACCTAACTGCAAAAACTGCTCTTTCTTAATATCATTTGAAGTCGGTTCAACATTTTTTTAAAGGATATTTTTTACCATTTTTAGTGTACGATACATTTTTAATGAGTCGATATGATATTAAAAACCCTACTAACTATAGTGTACCTATATTACCAAACTGTAGCATGTCAGATTATGTTAAATTTAGTTTAATAAGTCCTGTACTTCATTTATATAAGGCACTCATATGTAGATGTTAAAGGATACCGACTGCTTTGTAAGTGACTTCGGCCAAGGCGCGGGCATTTTAATATTGAAATAACAATATTTCTATTTTGTAGCTGAAGCTATGTTATAACCAAAAATAGTTTAGTGTCAAAAATAGTTATAAAATAATATATATATTTTTTTATTATAATGAAAATTTGCATTTTTTGAAAGTTTGAAGGTGATCTTTTAAATGTTATTAAGATGCTATCCAAAAAACAAAATTTAATATATTTCAAAGAAAGCTCAACGGTGACCCGAGTAAGGGAATGATTGACATGAGATGACAGGATGACAGGAATTGGTCCAAGTGGTACTAGAATAAGAAATCAGAAATACCAAAATCATTTTCCAAGTTTGCATAACAATTTATTTATAAAAATATCATCTTATAAAAAATACATTTTAAAGTAAAATACAGATTGTGAAATATTTTGTAAATAAGACTTTAAGAAAGCAAAAAATGCTCAATACTGAATGTATTGAGCATTTTTTGCTTTCTTTTTCCACTGCTTTTGTAGTGTGCAACAAATACGAGTTCTTTTTGTTGCAGATTGAATGAAATTGTACGTCATACGTTATAATAAATGTAAATATGTTAAAATCCTTTTTAATATATTACGTTTATTTAAAATAAACAAATTCTCAGCAATTTTTATTTGATAAAAAAATAAAGCTATTACTATTTTAATTTCTTTGCAAAATTGCTGCCCGTCTTATGGCCGAATTCGTTCGGTCTCCTTTGAACTAGAAAATGAATTGTTTTAAACATTACTTCATTTTCCACTAGTAGGAGTGGTATTTTTCTTAACGTGTCCCACGGTACTATGTTTTATGAATCAAACTAGCTGTTGCCCGTGACGTCACTCGTGTAATTACTTCTTATTTTGTGTTACCGTTCATTCCCTATTTTCCCCATGTAGAGAAATTTTCAACAATCCTTTGTTAGTGAGTGATTACAAGATAAAAAGTCAGGCCACTTTTATACGTATAATAATAAAATTCATCGATTTTTCTGAAACTGTATTTAAGAACCTTTAATAGAAATTTAATGCCTCTTCCTGCAAACTTTACGAATTTTGTATGTAAACTTACAACGCCTAATTTACCCCTTTGGGGGTTAAATGCAAAACACCGATTAATGTGTTTATTTAATTGTAACCGGAAGTAGGTATACAAAATTTCATGTTCCTTACTTTGAAAATGACGCTTACCTTAGCTTACCTTACCTTAAACCCCTAATTTACTTAATGGATAAAATTTTGAGAACACATGGGTCCATTTATCAGTGTTTTCACAATTTCATATTTTTTACTTTATAAATGATAAACTACTGTACAACATTTCATCGCTTATTTTACCCCGTTAGAGATTTCCAAAAATCCTTTCTCATTTGGTTTGGCTTTCAACACAAGAAGTTCAGATTCCAAAATTCCATCTTTGTAACTTCAGCGGTTAAGGCTTTGCATTGATGAATCAGTCAAGGACAAATCATTTTATACTCATAGACTACGATTTAAGACGTCTCAAAGGCTATGCGAGCTATTTGCATATGTCCCAAGGTAGTGTTTGTTGTATTATTGGAAACCTTCCTTCTGTTGTGCTACTTTCTGTAGAACTAAAACACTTTTTTTTGTGATTTAATTCAAAACACAGTCTAATCTTAAACTACGCTAACGACCCTTTATTGTGGTAACCAGGCTGCTGACAAAAAATATTTAAATCTAATTAATTCCAACTTTAAAGAAAACTGTAAAATTAGTAAAATTCCAGTGTTAAATAATTATTATTGTATAATAATTATTCTTGAAGATATTATGAAGTAACTACATATGTTATCTTGAGTTTGCAACGGAAGTCATCTGTAGAGAGCGTATACGGATGTGGTGAACCCTCCGGCAGACTTTCAACTTTGGAGTGCTCGTTACGATCCCCTCCCGCTGCGTTGTTATAAAGAATAGTTTCCTTTCATTTCCGCTCTTTTGGATTTCAGACATGTTTTTATTCATTTGAATTATCTTGTTTTTTTTTCTCTTTTATTGACTTCCTTATCTTTGTAAAAAGTTAAAAGACACACTGTACCGTACTAAATTGTGCTTATTAATGTATTTATTTACATTACATCTATATATATAAAAGAAAGTCGTGTTAGTTACACTATTTATAACCCAAGAACGGCTGAACCGATTTGGCTGAAAATTGGTAGGGAGGTAGCTTAAAACCAGGAGACGGACATAGGATACTTTTTATCTCGTTCCAGAGTGTTCCCGTGTGACTTGACATAAAACATCAGTCACTATAAAACTTTTTATAACAAAAAATAATCAGACTTGGCATAACAAAACACAAATGACAGCTATGTAATGGACGTATGGATGACAATTTGATTTTTATAAGAAATCAATATTAAAACTATTTCTGTTAAATAAATAACAATTATAATGTAATAATAGAGCCATTGCCTAAATAAATAACAATTATAATGTAATAATAGAGCCATTGCCTATCTCAAAAAGCTAAGTAATTTTGTCTATGAATGAATGGTTGAAAATTTGAGTTTTTAAATAAATATTTAGGTGAATTGAAGTGAAGTGAAGTTTAATTACTAATGCCGCGACCAAGACGATCGAATCTTTCCCGACAAAGCCGTAATGCAAGAAGGATACGAAACACTGCAAATGAAAGGACAGAAGAAGAACAAGAAATTGCACGTGAACAGCCGCGTTAGTATGGCTCGACTTCGTGCTTCTCAATCACAAGAGCAAAGTGAGGCAGCCCGTGAAACGGCTCGGTCGACAATGCAAAATCGTCGAGCGAACAACAGAGGTCAACAAATAGATAATTTACGACGCAGAACAAGAGATTTATCAAGTGCTGATTTGAATCGAGCAGCGTTTCGATACGATTGTAGCAATGATTACAGCTTGCATCCTAGCGTTTGCATTGGGCAAATGGACGTTGTTTGCAAGTATTGTGGTGCATTAAAGTTTGCCGGAGAAACGCCAGGATTATGCTGCCTCAGTGGTAAAGTGAAGTTGCCATTGTTGACTCTTCCACCTGAGCCATTGTATTCATTGCTTTGTGGCGAAACACCAGAATCACGCCACTTTCTTGCAAACACTCAAAAATATAATGGTTGTTTCCAAATGACGTCATTTGGGGCAGATATTATCGAAGAGCGAGGATTTAATCCGTCATTTAAGGTATTTATTAATACGCTTTTATAAGCCTGGGTTGTATGTATGTATGTAATGGAATTTTTGAGCATGATTTTCACCAATCTACAGAAATAATATATTTGCTAATTCTGAACTCTACTCTCAAACCGAAAAAAGTGTATATAACTCGGTTAATACGGACTGGTTTTTATTTTGTAGATACAAGGACAGATTCATCATCGAATTGGATCATTACTACCACTCGAAGATGCACAGCATAAATTTTTACAAATATATTTCATGGGCAACATGGAAGAACAACTTGATCGACGTGGAGAGATCAATGCAGGAATGAAGCGAGCAATTCTTCAAGACTTGCAGCAACTACTTCATGAACATCATGCGTTTGTCAGGTTGTTTAAAAGTGCTTTAGAGCGCATGCCAAATGATGACTATAAAGTTGTCATCAAAGCAGATAAACGACCATCTGGAACACATGAACGCACATATAACGCTCCAACAATAGATGAAGTTGCCATCCTGATTGTTGGTGAACAATTGGAAACTGATACGATACGATACTGGGCAACTGCAAAAAATATCTGAAACACATCGATCATATGACGCATTGCAATACCCGCTGATGTTTTGTCAAGGAGAAGATGGATATTATTTTAATATCAAAATGATAAATCCATTGAATGGTGATTATCAATATCATAATTTATTTTATTTATTAGATAAATGACTGGCAAACGGTAATTAATTATGAAAAAAAAATTACATATGAAATATTAAATCTACTGTTTTAATTTCAGGTGAAGAAACTACAAAGAAAGTTAGCTCAATGAATTATTACGCATATCGTTTGATGATTCGTCAAAATGCTGACAACTATTTGCTGCGGTTTCGTCGATTGTTTCAGCAGTATTGCGTCGACATGTATGTCAAAGTAGAAACGGAACGTTTAACTTTCATTAGGTTGAATCAAGCCAAACTGCGTTCTGAGGAGTACATCCATTTACGTGATGCAGTTAGTACTGAAGGAAATGCAGATAATATTGGTCGATTAACTATTCTGCCGGCGACGTACATTGGTAGTCCACGTCATATGCATGAATATGCGCAAGATGCAATGACATATGTTCGTCATTACGGTCGGCCAGATCTATTTATTACTTTTACCTGTAATCCAAAATGGATAGAAATTATTCAATTGCTGCTTCCCGGACAAACATCAAGTGATAGACACGACATCACAGCACGTATATTCAGGCAAAAAATTCGGTCCCTGATGAACTTCATTGTTAAACAACGCGTCTTTGGAGATACTCGATGCTGGATGTATTCAATCGAATGGCAAAAGCGAGGCCTGCCGCACGCACATATTCTTATTTGGTTAGGTTAGGTTAGAATTCCGAAAGAATTCAACCTGACCAAATAGATGATATTATATGTGCCGAGATTCCTGATCATGAAGCCGATCCAGTCCTACATGATGTTGTTATTACAAATATGATTCATGGACCGTGTGGCGCCATCAATCCCCAATTACCTTGCATGGTCGATGGAAAGTGCTCTAAACGATATCCACGGAAATTTACGGCGGAGACCGTCACTGGTAACGATGGTTATCCGCTGTATCGGCGTCGATCACCAGATGACAACGGTGGAACTGTCACAACAAAAGTGAAAAGAATGGATTTCGTTATCGACAACAGTTGAATTGTTCCATATTCGCCACTTATTTCTAAAACGTTCAAGACACATTGCAACGCTGAGTATTGCAATTCAGTAAAGTCCATAAAATATATTTGCAAATATGTCACGAAAGGCAGCGATATGGCGGTTTTTGGATTGCAATCCTCAAATACCAACGATGAAATTTCACGCTATCAAGTTGGTCGTTATGTAAACTGTAATGAAGCGATTTGGCGTATATTCTCATTCCCAATTCACGAACGTCATCCTACTGTTGTGCATTTGGCGGTGCATCTGGAGAATGGTCAACGAGTATATTTCACGGCTTCGAATGCTATGCAACGTGCTGAAACACCTCCAGCAACTACATTGACCAGTTTCTTTGCGATCTGCCAAAGCGATCCGTTTGCACGAACTTTGCTTTATTCGGAGATGCCACGTTATTATACTTGGAATGCTTCATCGAAGAATTTTCAAAGACGGAAGCAAGGCGATGCGGTTCCTGGGTATCCGGATGTGCTTTCTACTGATGCTCTTGGTCGCATGTATACAGTTCATCCAAAGAATGATGAATGTTTCTATTTGCGGTTGTTGCTGGTAAATGTGCGTGGGCCAACGTCATTTGAGACACTACGGACTGTTAATGGTGTAATATTCCCAACATATCGTGCTGCATGTGAAGAACTGAACTTATTAGAAAACGATACACATTGGGATACGACAATCGCTGAAGCCATTATCTCTGCATCTCCAAGTCAGATACGCACATTATTCGCTATCATAATTTCGACATGCTTTCCATCAAACCCATGTAACCTGTGGCACAAATATAAGGATAATATGTCAGAAGATATTTTACATCAAATTCGTATCACTTCCAGAAATCACGATGTTGAGATGAATGAGGAGATACATAATCATGCTTTACTCATGATCGAAGATATGTGTTACCTCATGTGCGGTAGTTTATTAATCAGGTTAGGAATGCCAGCGCCCAATCGTGAAATGAATGACGCATTTAATAGAGAATTGGAACGGGAACGTGAATATGATCACCAGGAATTAGATTTAGTAGTGCAAACGAATGTACCCCTGTTGAATTCCCAACAAAAGGAAGTTTATGATACTTTAATGAAGGCAAGCGATGATGGAAGTGGTGGTTTATATTTTCTAGATGCCCCTGGTGGAACAGGTAAGACATTCCTCATGTCAGTAGTTTTAGCCACTGTTCGTGCGAGATCCAACATAGCGGTTGCATTTGCTTCTTCTGGAATAGCAGCCACATTGTTAGAAGGATGCCGTACGGCTCATTCAGCATTAAAATTACCGTTAAATCTTCAAACTATTGAAGAACCAACGTGTAATATTACGAAAAATTCAGCAATGGCCAAAGTTTTATCGGCATCGAAAATCATCATCTGGGACGAATGCACAATGGCGCATAAACGTGCATTAGAAGCACTTAACCGAACATTGAAAGATTTACGGAATGACTCGAGATGTTTTGGAGGAGCAATGATTTTACTGTCTGGCGATTTCCGCCAAACACTGCCATTAATTCCAAGATCTACGGCTGCGGACGAAATAAACGCTTGCCTCAAATCGTCGAATCTATGGCGCTATGTGAAGAAACTGCAGCTGACAACAAACATGAGAGTTGCATTGCATAATGATACATCTGCTGAAGAATTCTCTGAGCAATTGCTGACTATCGGTAATGGTCAAGTATCTGTCGATGAATCGAGCGGATTGATATCATTTCCAAATAATTTCTGTAATTTTGTGTCATCAAAAGACGAACTTATCAACAATGTATTTCCAGACATTATTTCTAACTACAAAAATAACGAATGGTTGAGTGAGCGAGCAATTTTAGCGCCTAAGAATAAAGATGTAGACGACCTGAACTATGTAATTCAAAATAAGATCATTGGAACAATGCATTCATTCAAATCTATTGACTGCGTCACAAATGAAGATGAAGCCACCAACTATCCAATTGAATTTTTAAACTCCTTGGATGTGCCTGGCTTACCACCGCACAATTTACGCCTAAAGGTTGGCTCCGTAGTAATCATGCTTCGAAACATAAACCAACCAAAACTGTGCAACGGTACGCGTTTGGTGGTTAGAAAATTGATGAACAATGTAATTTACGCGACGATACTGAAAGGAAAATTCAAAGGTGAGGAAGTTCTCATTCCGAGGATCCCGATGATCCCAACCGATTTGCCGTTTGAATTGAAAAGACTTCAATTTCCGATCCGCCTTGCATTTGCCATGACCATCAACAAATCACAAGGCCAATCCCTAAAAGTTTGTGGTTTGAATCTAGAACATCCATGTTTTTCCCATGGTCAATTATATGTAGCATGTTCACGGGTCGGAAGACCATCTGCGTTGTTTGTTTTTGCGCCTGATAAGAAAACAAAAAATGTCGTGTATCACAAGGTACTTAAGTGAAGAGCAACCTATGTACTGAAATGCAGAAACAATAATAAATGATTAATGTACTTCATTTTTTTTTCTAAGAAAAAAAATAACTTATTAAATTCGAAAATCTTCTTATTTGTTGCCTTTAAGGCGGAACAGAGTTCGCCGGGTCAGCTAGTTATTAATATTTATATTGTTTTTGAGTGTTTGACATCATTATAATGATTGATCCAGGAGTCTTAAAGTATGTATAATTTTGATGTGACAATTATCCAGTTTTAGTTGGCTTTTTGACTGGTATCCAGAATAAATTTCAGAAGTATTATATTCATATCTATGAAAGATTTTTATAAACTTGTCGATCGGATCGCCATTAAAAGTGTGAAAACGTCAAGACTTGAGTAAGGTTGTTACAGGACTTGTTAAAACTATTTGCTGTATCATATTAAATTTTGTGTTGTTACGGTCTTTGTAAATAAAACCGATAGGTAGACTATAAATACCGTGTGGTGACGGATTAAGAATACTGAGTGTCACCTCCCCTATTCATCCCGTGGGTGTCGTAAGAGCCGACTGAGGGAATAAACAGCGCAGGACAATAGCACTGCAAAAAGAAGGAAAACTTGATACAAACCCTATTCCAACCCGTCTGGCCAGCGTGGTATAGTAGGCCAAAACCTCCTTCCTAAGGAGAGGCTTATGTCCAGCAGTGGACTAGTAGAGGCTGTTGATGAGACTATAAATCACGAGTACTTTTAATATACCTACATAATTTTGATCTACACGTGTTAGAGTAAACTTCATTATTGGTCCCGTAACTAAATTTATTATGTGAAACATAGTTACTATAATTATTAATTAATATTATACCACAGTGTTTTAATTCTCCTATTTAAGTATGATTTAAATTTGTGTTGGTAATAACTTTATGTCTATCTCAGTTCAAATTCAAATTCAAAATATAATATCTTTATTTCATAAAAAAAAAGTTTGAAATCGTCTGTTATGTAGACTCTAAAGTCGTATAACAACACACACACAATAGCAAAAATCTCTGTTTTGTCAAATAGTAAGGATTCTTTTAAATCAAAAATTGTGCTTATACAAAATGTATGATATGCCTGTGTCGGTCAACAACCGCCTGTTTCCAAGGGGTTGAGCCTTATGAGAAGAAAGGGCAAACGAACTCATGACCAGACCAGTAATAATATACGTAAACTTACGTTAATTATAATTGAATACCTTAAAAATACATAATACCTTGAAAACTTGGTCGCATAGCCAGGCAATTCAAATATCATTATCATCATAGTCCACTGCTGGACATAGACCTCTCCTTAGCAAGAAGGTTTTGGCCTATTATACCACGCTGGAGAGACGGTTTGGTATAGGATTTGTTTCAAGTTTTCCTTCTCTTTGCATTAATACTCTCGAAATAATTAATTAAGTAAGTGTTATTCCCTACAACATAAACAAACTCCTCAAATTTTAAATTAAGTTAAATTTGAAAGTTTTTACTTTCAAATATTAGATGATTCCGACAATCTTCAGTTCCAAGAATGTCGTCTAACTTATGATAAATGGCTTTAAATTGTATCAAAAGACGTGAAGAGAGAAACTAACATCTAATTTATGTATCTTGTCCTAAAGTTAACACTAAATTAAATTAGAATTTAGTTAAGGTGAATAGGGTTATTTAAAACATAAGTAAATTATTCATTCCCATCAGACTTACTAATAGAGTAAATTAAAACTACTCTTTAATTCTCTCAGTATTGTTAGTTACTTAGGAATATACCAGATGGAAAAGACCTGATATAATTGTTGTTGTTGACTAGCCTGTTGGTTTAGTGGTTAGTAATGATGACTGCTAAGCCAGAGGTCGCGGGTTTGATGCCCATCCTGGACAAATAATTGTATGTAAATAAGAGGTTAATCAGCGATCTAGTTGCCCTAGTACGGCTCTATCTATTTTGGGATCAGACTGCCGTGTGTGAGATGTGTGATATTATTATTATTTCTTGGTTGTTCCAGAGGCGTCTCCAATCATAGAATGGAACTTTGTATTTTTATCAAACCTACTATAGCTAGTTGGCAAAATGCCCATTTATGTCATAAAGTCATATGCAACCCGTGAAAGTTAAGTTTGAAACCGCGAAATTTCAGACCATCTCACAGTAATTTCTTGTTTAATATTTATCATTCCGAAGATCTTCTTAAAAGATATATACGAAAATTCGATGCTCCTCTCGCAAACAGCTCGCATTTTCGCAAACTGTTGTAGGTAGAACTTGAACTGTTAATTTGTCATTGTCATCGCTTTAATTTCAACGGAGAAACGGAGATGGGTTCAGTGTCAGAGCGCGGTGTATTAATATTTATATAATAAATTAAACTTAATATTTTGCTACATAGCTTATCGTGTCAAGGTAAAAGATATTCTTTCGCTCTCTCTACGCTGAGTGTTGTGGGTCCGATCCCCACATGGGACGACACTTTGTGTGATCCACAAATTGTTGTTCTGAGTCTGGGTGTTCTTTATGTCCGTTTTATGAATGTTTGTAAAGTCCCTCGTGACATAGGATATATTCCTAATGCGGGAGTTGTTTAAAAAAAAAAGAAAATCAAGGTGTGTAGATTTAACTTTAGACAAAAAATTATTACGATTTTCGTAAACCAGTTCCCACAATGGTGAGAGAGCCTTATAAAGTTATCGACTTAAATTCCTTAAACAAATAGTTAGTTATTCATTACCATAACTTTTATACTCATTTCGTGTGGTGACGGATTTAGAATACGGAGTGCCACCACCCCTATTCATCCCATGGGTGTCGTAAGAGCCGACTAAGAGAGCAAACTACGCAAGACAAAATCACTACAAAGAGAAGGAAAACTTGACACAAACCCTATAGCAACCCGTCTGGCTAGCGTGGTATAGAAATCAAAAATCAAATCAAATATATCGAATCAAAAACCTCCTTTCTAAGGAGAGGTTATGTCCAGCAGTGGACTATTAAAGGCTGTTGATGATGATGATGATGATGATTATACTCATTTGTGAACGTGTTTGAGTGACATTATTATTCTTCAACAGACGTATTATAATCAGGACGTTTGATCATATGACAATGGTATTCTATAGGCTATTAGTAATTTTCCAATTCTCATTTATCTTACGTGTAGCTCTGTAGTAGACTTAGCCATAACTAGATAAACTATGCTAGCTCAACTAGTCTTGAAATCATAAAAATATCCTGCTGTTATTTTCATTAGGTTCATTGAGTGTACTACTATTAAAATTTGAGATGCAATGGGGTCAATGTTATGGGATGACAATTTTTGAGTACTCCTCTTAACGTTACTTATCTTAGAAAATTATGATCCTGGAGGTTATAATTTATAATTTTATTTCGTTCGTTTTCTTTCGCCAATTACCAAGCCTTTTAAACTACGGCAAGGATCGCTATCACTCGGTACACACCCATGTCGGCGACTTTAATAGGTATTGCGGTAACTTGTGAGTCACGCCCCATTTAAATGTGTAGATGAAGAAAAGTTACGTGAGTGCTTATATTGTGTAAGAGGTACATAAAATCGGTAAAATTCATATTGAGGTCTCATGACCATGCCCTTAAAATATACTCCTTTGACGTTATCACCCTGAAGATTAATCTAGTTTGTATTACAAGACTAAAGTTAAACGCTCAAAAACCTACTTGTTATTTGCGAATAATCTAACATTATATTTAAGGTACAAATCTAAAATTATTATATATATTTCTTAGGTTTGTCCATCCTAAATAGATCTCATTTTCTAATCTTTTGCTAAATACAATAAGGTGATAAAAGAAGGTTTTGTTTATTCTTTTCCATAAGTAACCGCTTACATTTGTTTCCAGTCATGTCCTGGATTCATTTTAGGATCAGATAAATTTATATTAGTTTTATTATTAACAAATCCTCATTATTAAAAAGAAGTCAGGAAATTTGCTGAAGCTACAGTCGGAGAAGTAAGAATGTACTACATCTTTGCTAGCTTTTTAGGGGGGAAAGGAGATTGTTAACTTTCAGAAAAATGATAGAAGCTAATATTTATTGGCTGATAGGAGTTAAAGTCATAAGATCGAGGAAGCTTAAATGCAAATTACGAAAACCATTCATCAGGCGCAAGTCAGTGATGCAACGTCGCTTAAGACGGTAGGTTAGATATTTGCTCAGCAGAAGCTAAATTGCTTCGAGGCAAATCGATGTTCTAAACCGGATTAAGATATTCCTTCGTGTGAAATTGCTGTCTTATAAGTGAGAGATATAGTTGTGGACAATTTGGATTTTAGCCACTTTGGTTGCAGAATAAATTTAATAATAAAATATTACAACCAGAATCAGTTTTGAAATCTTTTTACACCAGATTTCTTTTTCTGTATTATTGTAGTGGTGTGTAGGAAGCCACGTTGACCCAGTAGCCCAAAGAGGTTAATATTTCTTACTAACTCCTTACAGCAATCAGAAGTTAAACCACGATCTATTATTCGCATACATGGTGTACCTACTTAAATTAGAATTTAAATCTGATTGTACCCAAAAAATTCTAATAAAATTTAAAATGATTAACTAGAAAAAAAGATGGCTAAATTTAATCTTTGTCTAATAATTAAATAAACATTGAGGGATATGTTGTCTAACCTAAACCAAGTCACCCTGAAGAGAAAAATATTTACTCACATCTACCTGAGCATGAGTAAAGGGCGACGACGGAAGACGACCTTTACTCGACGACCGGGTGGCGTAGTGGTTTGTGTAACGGACTGCTATTCCAAAGGTCACGGGTTCAATTCCCGCTCAAGTCAAACATTTGTGTGCTTGAACATTTAATGTTTGATTTGGTCTGGGTGTTTCTATGTATAATAAGTGTGTATTTACAAAAAAATAAGTATATATGTATTTATATCAGTGGTGTAGTAGCCATAGTACAAGCTCTGCTTAGTTTAGAACTAAATGGCGTTGTATGAATGTGGTAGAATATTATATTA